GACTCCGAGTCTATTGCCTTTCCAAGTGAATTTTTATGTCTATAACTGCTTGCAAATACACTTATCATATCCATGGTTGATATAATACTTTTTAAAATCTCTACACAAGAAAATTGAGTATGGGTGTTTTTAAGTTGCCCTCAGTAAGAATGACAGCCTATCTTTCCTTTACTTGTCTTTGTGACCTATCCAAGGAGACCTATCACCAAGAATGTTTACTTAAATAGTAAAAGAACTAATTTTGCTTTGATCATGCCTATTTCTCTCTCTTATGATTATTATTGTTCTCTGGGATGAAAATGAGATCATGTCTAATTGTTGTTGTTGGTGTTGTTATGTGCTGTCGAGTCGCCTGCGACTCATAGCGACCCTATGTACAACAGCCCTAAACTCTGCTCTGTCCTGTGCCAATCGCACTGTCTCTGACACTCCCATCCCAATTATCCCAGTCACTGAATCAATCCACCTCATAGAGGGCCTTCCTCTCCTGCGCCGTCCCTCCACCCTCCCAAGCATGATGTCCCTCTCTAAGGACCGGTCTCTCCTCACAACATGTCCAAAGTAAGTTAGATGGAGCCTCAGAATCCTTGCCTCCAAGGAGCCACCTAAATTGGGTGGGGTTAAATTGACCCTCTCCAGGACAAATCTGTTTGTTTTCCTAGCAGTCCATGGTATTCTCAATACTCTTCTCCAGCACCACCGCTCAAAGGCATCAATTCTCCTTCTATCCTCCTTAGTCATTGTCCAACTCTCTGATGCATAACAGGTGATTGCGAAGACCATGGCCTGTATCAGACATACACCTTAGTCTCCAGAGAGACACCACTGCTCTTCAGCACTTTGGAGAGGTCCCTAACAGCAGACTTTCCCATGGCAATGCGCCTTTTAATTTCCTGGCTGCTGGTGCCGAGACTGTTGACTATGGAGCCAACAAACTATAGCTGTGTACAATCTCAATCTCTTCACCATCCATCCTGATGCTGCCAATTGGTCCAGTGGTGAGAATCTTTGTCTTCTTGACATTGAGCCTCAATCCATATTGTAGGCTGCAGTCCTTGACACTCTGCAGCAGGCGCTTCAGGTCCTCCTCAGCTTCAGCAAGCAGGGTTGTGTCATCCGCATAACGCAGATTGTTGATAAATCGTCCACCAATCTTGACCCCACATTTCTCCTCATAGAGCCCAGCCTCCCGGATAATCTGTTCTGCATATAGGTTGAAAAGGTATGGAGATAGGATGCATCCCTGGCGTACGCCCTTCCCAATTTTGAACCATGCAGTGTTCCCTTGCTCTGTTCTGACGACTGCCTCCTGGTCCAAGTATAAGTTTCGCATTAGAACGATCAAGTATTCTGGGATTCCCATTCTTCTCAGAGTCAGCCACAGTTTGCTATGATCTACACAGTCAAATGCCTTTGCATAGTCAATGAAACACAGATAGACATTCCTCTGGTATTCCCTGCGAGGAATTATTATTGTTGTTGTTATTAGATGCCTCCAAGTCAACTCATGTGATTCATAACTACCCAGTGATCTGACATTTGCCCTGTCCTGCACCATCCACATGATATCCACCATGCTCCAGCCCATTATTGTAGTCACTATGAACATTTATCTCATTGAGGATCTTCTCCTCTTCTAATGACCCCCTACCTTTCCCAGTATGTCTTTTCCAAAGGACTGGCCTTTCTTGAAAACATGCCCAAAGTATGTGAGGTAAAGTTTTACCATTCTTGACTTTGATGAGCGCTTTAGTTGTACCTTCCTTCAATATAGTCTTGGTTATTATTTTGGTTGTCCATGGAATGTTCTGTGTTTTTTGACACCATCAAAATTCAAGAGCATCAATTCTTCTTTTATCTTCCTTATTCATTACCCAGCTTTCAATGCATAGGAAGTTGCATTGTCCCAGTTTGAAGGCATTGAATATACCATGACTTGATGGAGGGGTTACTACCTTGACAGTTACTCAATAGAGGGATTACTACCTTGAAAACATCTGTCTGTTTCTGGGACAAAGACCTATCAACTTTAGAGGGTTTTGTCAAACTTGAAGTTCACTCTTGGAAATCACACCAGTTATGCACTGTTTCACCATCTTTGTTGGTTTTAAGAGAATTGAGGATAATCTCCTATATCCCATAAAACCAAAGTGCAAATCTGGAGCATGAAGCTTTAATATACAGACTTAATATACATGCATGCACACTCACCAGACTTTTTTGCCCCCCCCTTTTTATTTATGTGTTGAGCATCTGCTATTTCCTATTGTGCCTCTAGCTGTTTTTTACTCAATAGATATTGACATGAAAAAGTCACTGACTGAAGCTATACAGGGTCTGTTATCATTTATTTACTGAAAAATATTTATTGAACACTTATCTGTCAGTCAGCCCCCAGTCAACCAATGTCCTTGCTTCCACCAAGCTTACATTCTCATTGTAGAGACTGATAGTAAAGACCGACATACATATGTCAGATATTGATCAATGACGATAGCTTTTGTGGATGCGGTGGGGGAGAAAACTAGGTGAGGATTAGCATACAGAACAAGAAAGTCATGAGAAAGCTGCTTGTAATAATGTGATAAAAGGAGTCATGCTTCCCCCCCCCAAATGCCCTCCCCTTGGCACCAGTATTCATATTTAAAAAGAGTTAATTAATAAAAAAAAGCAAGAACTGAAGCCTTTGACTTATAGTGTCGGAAGAATACTGAATATACCAGGGGCTGTATGAAGAGTGAACAAATCTGTTTTGAGAGAGGTTCAGCCAGAATTCTCCTAAGCTTTTGTCTCACATGTGTTGGATATGCTATCGAGGGACCAGTTCTGGAGAAAGGCATCATGAAAGAAAAAAGGATCCGCAAAGAAGAGAAACATTGTCACCAAGATACTGTGGTTGCAACAGCGGGCACAAATTTAACGGCAGTTGTGCAGATGTGAAGATGAGGCAGCATTTTGGTTTTGTTTTTTTTTTAAGTAGGGGTACCTAACTCCATCAACTAACAAAGTTTCACATCACCTATCACGGGAGGTGGCAGTAATTTGGCTTCCCTTCAAAGGTCTAGAACATAGTTTCACAGATTGTTAATGTCAGTGTGCTGAAGGTAAATCTGGTCAGTGTAAGTAAGTCATGCTGACTAAATTCACATGAGATTGACTGATTCTCCAGACCGAATTAGGATTGATACAATCATGTAGATAATTTCCATGACTTGGGAAAAATGGTTTGATAAACAAGGAGGAAACAATTGGTCTTAACTAGGGGAAAATAAAAGCTGAACAGTTCATTTTTTTCAAATTGTAACTTTTATTATTACGTGTTGCACCATTTTAAGGAGACATTTATCTAAGGAGCTGGGATTCTCTATCTTGAGATGTCAAGTCACCTACTGTTTTTTGATGCTGGAGATCTAGCTTCATGCCCTGCCCTCTCCCTTCTATTTAGAATCTTTCATATGCTATCTTGATAATTAACTTCTTCACACAAGTTCAATAGAGTTGATTATGCCACAGTATCTTCCCATTATTTTACTCCTGTTGAGTCTTGTAAAAGCTTTTGACCTCTTGATGAAATCTTTAGAGACACTTCAATCCCACTCACACAATAATTGCTATCACCTTGCTTTTAAATCCTAAGACCACTTCATTTCTCTTTGCCTTGAATTCTTGGCAAGCTATTTGCTCATTTCCCCCCATTCTCCTGGAAATGCTATCGTGACAGTATCATGCCTTTCATTGCCCCTTTTTGAGGCTGAGCTCAGGTAGATGCATGCACGTTATAAGAGTTTTGGTATAGAGTCTAAAGACTCTCCAGTCCATAATCAGTTATCACTGCTACACACCCTTTCACAGCCTCTTGGCAAGAACCCCAAAAAGTCTCATTTTTGTCCACCTTTCAGGAACATCAACTGTGAGTTCACCCTATCACACGTATAGATGTTACCCTTGTTATCTGAAAGACCTGAAAGCAGAGCATTTCTGTTGAAGTTTACACAGGCCAAAATATCATAAAACAAAGAAACAATTAGTATGCATTTGTTGTTGTTGTTGGTTACCGTCTGGCCCCATAGCTGACCCTCCAGCGGGTTCTCAGAGGCAGTTAATTGCATGGGAGGAGACTGGCTATCCTGCACCCTCGAAGCTGCTGGTGGCCTCGAACCACGTGCCTTTTGGATTGCACTGCAGCTTCTTGCCACTAGACCTCCAGAGCTCCCTACTATCATTTACCTGGGGCGGGGGAAAATTTAAACATTACCATACCCAAAACAGGCCTATCAGATTATACAAAAGAACACTAACATATCATAAAAATGCTGATGATATGATACATACCCTGCCCGCATAAAACATATAAGATAAACACTGTAGATCTGCTGGCTGCTGAGGGTGAAAGCTGCTTCTTTAATGATGTTTCTGATGCAAGAAAACAATTTTAATATCTCCCATAAAAATGAAATTCTTCTTTATATCACTTTCAGTTAGTGAAAATAAGTCCTGATGTAGGTCTTTTCTAAAGTGGGGGATACAGTAGCCACCAATAGCCACACTTTCAAAAGGTGTTTGTTGTGCACTTGTGTCTGTAGACATAGAATCCTCTTCCTAGACTGCTGTGTTATTTTCACACTACCCCTTCCTGTTCTAATGGACTCATTCGGTGCAATGGTTTATGAACATGAGGAGCTCCTGATTCCACTCTGGTTAGATCTGTTCCTTGACTGCAGAGTTTGAGATATTATTTCCAATCTCTCTTCTATTAATCAGAAGAGCTTCTCAGATAGTGTGAGGTGACCCTATATAAGTCACCTCCTGTTTGCCCTAAGTATTTGTATGTGGTTAACATGACCAGTCCTACTTCATCCTCCTTCACAAGATGATTAAAAGCTAAAAGAAGTCAAAATGTGCCCCAAACTACAGTATAACTTGAGAGAAAATTGAAATAAACTGAAATACCAATGGAAACTAGATTCCCTTCTTTCAAATATACATATTTTTTCTAGCAGGGAAATCCTGGAGGCAAGACTCTAGAAGAAAGGCGCTCCAGCCTAGATGCAGAGATTGACTCTCTAACCAGTATCCTGGCTGACCTGGAGTGCAGCTCCCCCTACAAGCCACGGCCGGCACAGGTAAGTGCTTTGTGTGGAAGTCTCTCTGCACATCCAGACACATGCTCTTCTTGTCATGGACTTCTGTTTCCATCTCTTCACTTCTTTTTTCTTCTTCTCAAAGTCTCATTTATCTTTTCAGCAATATCAATATATTTTACTTAAAAAGCAGACGTTTCTAAAGTTGATTTTGTAATACTTTCTTGAAAAAATTTAAAGATTTCATAAAAATATTATGGAAAAAATAGCCTCCTCTTAGTTCATCTACTTACCTTTTTCTAGCTCTGCTTATATTGAGGCTTTGCTATGTTGTTATAGTCTCTAAAAGTAGGGTTTGGCATGTTTAACTCTTCTGTGACCCTTGGTATATAGATTGCCCACGTTTAACTCTTCCATGACCCTTGGTATATAGATTGCCCATGTACATTTCTTGCTTCCTAAGTTTAGCTGGAAGTTGCTATCCCACGTTTATTTCATCCCACTATCTGATGAGGTTTTGTACAGTTGCTTGACTCTGAAGAAACGGACCCTTTTCCACCCCGGAGATCACTTAGTACATATGTGACCCACTAATTTTATCAAGAGAGCTCTGGTAGCCTGGTGGGTAATGAGTTCCACTGTCAATGCAAAGGGAGGCTGTTCAAAATCCACCAGCTACTTCTCAGAAGAAAGGTGAGTTATCTTTACCAGTGGCATTTACAACCTCTGAAAACCCACCGGAGGGTCAACCGTAAGTCAATTACAATTCTCTGGCAACGAGCTGAGTTTTTAAAAATTTTATCAGAAGCCAAATAACCTCTCAAAAATATTTTTCCTGTTCTCTCCACATCTCTTTTATTACTGAAAACACATGCTGTCAACCAATAAAACAGAACATAAATAACAAAAATAGTAAAACAAATATAAAAAAATTAAAAATAAAAAAACAGAACAGACAATAATTTGGCCTTCAGTAGATTAATCCAGTTAAGTTAAGGTGACACAGTGTATGCTTTGGAAAGTAATTACCTATGTTAGAGATTGATGTTTTCAGATTTTGTTAGTTTAATAAATAATACGGGAATGTATTTATGTCTTTTCTTTAGATTTGTTTTTTTACCTTGATTTACTAACAGTGATATTTCTACATTGAAGAGGATAATAACATTTTTGTTACTTTTCTTCCAAAAGTTGAAAGTCATTTATATTGTTACTTTCAACTTAAAAATACCATTTTCACCAGACATTTGTGATAGTTGTTAATCTGTGCTTTGTAACTATTAATGATGACTTGGTGTTTGCATTGATTTGCTTTCTTCATAGTGTGACTATTTTCCTGGTTATTATTTTATTAAGACCGTGAAAGCTGATTTTTTTCTAGATGGTTATTCCCTACCTCTTTGGGGGGTCTTCTGAATGTGAGTGGCAAGATCTATTTTAGGGCTTCCAAGTGCACTGAAGACAGCCAGACTCTAGATTCAGTGCTTGGATGAACACAGTGGCGTCTATTGTTGTTGTTCTCTTGTGAGATGGTAGCTTGACTTAAGTGACAGTGAATATGGCACTCAAAATCTGACTCCAGTTCTCTGGCGGCAGCTCGGATATTCACAACAGCTCCCTTTCCAAATTAAAAACAAGTCCTGCCTCTCTTCTGTCAATCATTTCAGCTTTATCTACACATATGGCAGCAGTGCTTTCTTCTTTTGCAACATTCCCATTATTTTTGCTAGACATGTAGCAAGACTTCTAACCATGTAAGACTCTAGGTAAAGCATAGAAGAGCTCAGCTTTCGCTTAGCTGCCTCTGCTTATACTCTGCAATCTCTAAGTGGTAGAAAGTCCATTCACTTCTGGAAATATGTGTTAAGCTGTTAATAAACAAACAGTGTGATTCTTAGGAGAAACTAGTGAGAGAAAAGAAATTGAGAGTTGAAGGAGTGAAAAATATGACTCCATTATTATCATTCAGAAATCCATAGGTGCAAATGGCAGATACTTTAAAATCACAGGGAAGGAAGTGATGTACTCTTTTAAAGGTGCATCTGCAGACTCTACAAAGGTCTATCAGAAGCCTTGGATTTTTGGCTGAAGATGTCAGTTGCTATCCAAGTATAAAACAACAATCAAACAAACATATGACAACAAGAAAATGTTGCATTGTCTTGTGCCATCTTCACAGCCATTAGTATGGTTGAATTCACTGTTTAGGCAACTATTTTCATCCATATTTTGAAGGATTTTCCTCATTTTTGTTGACCTTCTCCTTGACCAGATTTTATGTCCTTTTCTAGAAATTGGTCATTCTTGATGATGTGTCCAAAGTAAATGAGTTAGTATCTCACTGTCATCTCTTCTAAGGACTGTTTTAATTGTATTTCTTCCATGAATCATTTGATTATCCTTCTGTCAGTTAACAATATATGTCATATTCTTGACCATCCTCGCAATTAGAATGCATCTTCTTCTACCATTCTTTTCATTGTTTAGCTTTTGTACTCATGTAGTTGAGGGAGGAAAGCATGATTTGAACCATGCAAACTTTAGTCATCACAATTATGTCCTTGCTTTTTAAAATTTAAAAGATATTATTTTTATCAGATTTATCCAGTGTAAATATGCTCTTTGAAACTGCTGCTTTCATAGATGCAATTGACTTAATGGAGATCAGAGCTTATCTATGGACCAGGAAGGTCCACCAAGTGCTCAGAAACTGTAAGCAGATGATGCATAGTTGAAGGTGATGCCATTAAAGGGTGTAAGGAGTTAGCTACAATATGAAAGTACTTTACTTACCTGTGGGCAAGCATGAATGCAAGATTAAGATTCTAGTCTATCTTTTCTTAATGTTATTGTTGCTCTTATATGCTATTGAGTGGAAACTCACCCAAAACTCCAGTGAGCTTTTGCAGAGGTTATAAATCAGATAGGAGAAGTTTGGTCATCGTTCTCTCATGGAGCAACTAGTGGATTCAAACTTCCTACTTCAGGTTAGCTGCACAACTCCTCACCACTAAGCTGATAATCAAGCAGGGCAAAGCGAAAACTCATTCTTACAAAGAAAGAAGTCACATGAGATTAACTGTTGAAAGTTTCAGGAAGATGACTGCAGGTTTGAAAATAGTCTACAATGTGACTTACTTATTTGTAGTTTCTGACTATTGTTTGATATTAATAAATGCTCTGTTTCTACCCAAACAGATCCCTTACTGTCCACTTTCTTAAGTCAAAAAGACCACTAACTTTGCCATTGGACTCAGCTTTTCTATGCCCAAGTGTTTTTATATTCTTTTCTTTACCGGGTTTTAATTTCATTTCCCTCCTCTAAAATTCTTAAACCCTGGTATGTACTGAGGAGATTCTGCTCTGAGGTTTTGCTTAATATAGACTTCATTCTTTAAAGTTGTGTCTACGCATGCCTCCCATAAACCATGGAATTTTAATGGGTTTATTCAACAGCTGCATATTTGTGTGAGCAATCTAACTATTTACACAAACTCGTAATCACTAGTATTTGGACAGTATTTTATTGGTGGTGAAACACTTTCACCCATGTTCTCACTGTGCATCTCCACAACGCAGGCTTTTATTTTGTGGATGAAGAAACAAAACCTTAACAGATAAACGAGTTGTCCTAGGCCATGCGACTGCTGTGTAAACAGAGCTAGACTTTCAATTTATGTCAGTGTTTGATTTTAAGTTGAAGAATGAGACTTGAGCATTTGAAAGTGTTTAGCTTTGTTTTCTTCAGTATATTTATAATTGCAAAGAATAATTTATTTCTGTGAATAACTGTGTTCCTGGAGTATGGCTTTTATAGAAAAAGAATTTATAAGATAGGAAAAATATTATGATGACTCTTATTTAAAAGAAGCTAAAAAGTAGAGTTAAATCTCTTTTCCCTTTTACCTAATTTTTAAGTCTTCTCTTGTTGTATCTGTTCCACTCAAAAATTAAAGAGTGATATATCCTAACTTTAAAGAAATAATTCTTGTTTAGGATGCTTGAGTTAATGGGAAGGTACATCTCATGCTTCTTAATTATCTTCACTCAGCTAGAACTGAACTAGATGTATTAGTATTTATTGCTTAAGATAATTATATGCTCTGAGAACAATAATCACACACTTAAAATATTTTTTAATGTGCCAAGAGAAGATGATGTCTGCAGCAGACTATGTTGTATTGTAATTAAAAGGTACTTGAAAAGTCCTAGAAATGTAGATTGTTAACGTCCAACTTTGATGTTTCCATTTTTGAGCCAAAGTAAATTTCAAAACCCGTTGAGTTACCTGATTACTTGTAGTCTAGTAGGTCTATGATTTCTCATTATTCAGGTATGTATTGTGGGTTTTTTTGAATCAACCTTTGACTCACCTTTGTAATGCTGTTTTGATACATGGATCTAGTGAAAATGATTATATACATGGAGTATTTGTCCTGTAAGTTTTTATTGTTGTGCATTGTTGAGTTATAACTGACCCACAGCTGACCTTCCAGTGGATTTTTCAGAGGCTATAAGTAGTACAAAGAGAACTCTATTTACTTTGAGAAATGATAGTTATCGAAAGGCTTCAGGTCATTTTTTTCATAGGGTCACTATGAGTCGTACTCGATTTGACAGCAATCATCAACAATACAAATTGTACAAGAGGAGATGGCCCACCTTTCTTCTGTAGAGCAGCTTGTGAATTTGAGCCATGTGCTTTGAGTTTTCAACGCAATTCCTTACTATTACCAGTTTGCTCCCTTGAGGTAAAGATCTGTGTGTGTGTAAAACAGTGGTTCATTTGTATGCCTTCATTTCAATTCAATTAGTATTGTGATTCTGCTCACTGCCCTTAAATCTACTCCAGCTCTAGGGACCCTTCATGGGTTCCAAGTAGTAAATTGCAATGGGAGGACTTTGTCCATCTTCCTTCCCTCTGCAGAGTGGCTGGTGGATTCCAAATGCCAGAGATGCCCAGCTCTGGGATGAGGAGAGCAACTGCTGTCGATTATACCACTGGAGCAGCTTCCTGTGCTTCTACGGTGGAGCAAAGTCAA